TTGTGTCATCCATCCTTCCTCCACATCCTTCCTCACATCCTGTGTCCTCCACCCTTCCTCCACATCCTACTCATTCATTGTGTCCTCCATCCTTCCTCCACATCCTGTTCTCGGACCCTGGGCCTTCCGCCTGGCAGCGGAGGCGCCCAGCGGCGCGACGGCCGCAGCCGTCAGGCCGTCGCCGTGGACGTCGACGCGATTGCCGAGCCCGTCGGCGGCGGAGAAGGCCATTGCCTACGAGAAGTTCTCCCACTACCTTTCCCCACCGTGGGGAAAGGGAGTGGGAGAACGCCTCGAGGCCCTCCACGGGGCTCTCCGCCGCCGCGGCGGCGTCGGCCGCCACCGCGCCCCAGCCGGCGGCGGGGCCGAGGTCGGCGAGGGCGCCATCGGCCGCCACCGCGCTCCAGCCCGCGGCGAGCCCCTCGGCCTCGGCCGCGGCCTCCGCGACGGGGGCCCACCCTGCCCCGCCCCCGCTCATGGCGGGGGGGAGGCTGACAGCCAAAATGGCTAGGGTGGGAGGATGTGGTGGTGGGGGGCAATATGCGCGGTGCCTCAAGCTATGTAGCACGATATATGTGGTGCAAGCTGTGTGGCGTAAGCTATGTGGTGCACGCTATGTAGTGCTTTCTTTGGGAAGCAACCTATATGGTGCCAATTTTGTGGTGCAACCTATGTTGAGCAATCTACGTGGTGCAAGCAACGCGGTGCCACATGTGTGGTGTGAGCTATGCGGTGGTCAGCTACATAATACATCTTATGCTGTGCGATCCGCCGAGTTTGGGTTTTTTCTTGGAGAGAGAGAGAGAGAGAGAGAGAGAGAGAGAGTTGCATGTTTTTTTAGTGTTGAATGCCCTTCGTCATTTAGTTGTTCATGTGCGTATTGCGTGGACTTCCTGGGGGTGGAGGAGACAACATAAAAGAGAGGCCATACAATGAAAAGCGAGGCGAGGAGTTTTCGAAGTACGCGCCACTAGCGAACGAGCTCTGAATCGACTACTTGTTACAAGCCAACAACCCGTCGGAGCCTACTTTTTGTACTTTGGGAGGTACTTTGGGGGGTACTTTGGAACCTGCTTGTTAGGCTCGGGGGGTACTTCTATTCCTATTCCGAAACCTACTTTGGGATGTACTTTGGCCTTTCTGGAGGCCCTATGGGCCTAGCAAGCACTGCCTTTCATAAGCCCCACCCAGCTTCCAGGCAATCGCACGTGCCGGCCAGCGGGCGCTGCCACCCACAGTAGCTGCTAATCCCCTTATAGTACACCACCCAAGTGCTGTGCACCAGTAGAAGTCATAACCTCTGTGTGAGTACTACGATCACGCATGCATCCTCGAGCTCGGATTTCAGCGCAAGCAGTTCGTATATCTTCAAAAACAATGGACGATAATGATAATAACGAGATGAACGTTCATTTTCTGCGGCAGCCGCACGGCCGGGTCCGCCGCCGCCCCCGGCGCGCACAGCCGGCGCCCGGGAAAAGCATGCAGATGCCCCCGCGCCTGAAGACAGCACCGCAGCGTTCGGCCTGTCCGGGCAAGCGCGAGTGGCCGTGGCACGCGCCTGCCCCCGTCACTCATTTTCAAGCGATGGGATCGCCCAGGCGCCCGTGCCGCGGGCCCCTGAACCACTGCTCGAGATAAAGATGTCATACTTCACGGCATTGTCGCTCACTGCAGCAAGTGCCCCCGCAGTTTTGTCGGGCGGCACCCGCTTGCTTCCCTCCCCATAGGTAGCCTGGTAGACCTTCGCCTGAAAGTTCTGCTAGGCGCAGGCCTGATCGGCAGGCGCGGGGGCGTTCCCACACGTCGTATTTCTGCGATGCCAGGTCTTGCGGGCGTTGCTCGCCATAGACTGGATCGCGTAGGAAAACGTCTCCTCGTTGATGGGGAAACTGATGCCCATTGCGTCCTGGGACATCATATACGCGCGGGCGTCGTCAGTGGCGGGTGCCCCCGCATTGCTAGACGCAGGTTGCCCCGCCATCGGATCCACATCTGCGACCTCCTCGACGAGCACGGGCGCCTCCTCGCACACAGGGTTGGCTGCGACAGTAAACGCCGTCGAGCCATTGTCCTCAGTTGCAACCCCATGCTCGTCGACCTTTATCGCCAAGCGCCCTGATGGCGTCTTCATCAGGTCAAGCACCCCGGCGCCTTTACCAAGGAGGAGCCTGTGCATGTCTGCGCCTGGGACGATCATCTTCTCATGTCCCTGTTCAAGGCTTAAGATAGCGCGCATGCTTGACATGCCCCTCAACCCCACGACTGCATGGAGACTATTGCCAGATCCCTCTGCCACATTGGCCGAGTAGGTGTCTAACCTGGCAATGGCGGGTGCCCCCGCGGAGTCGCCCCTTTCCTTGCATGCAATCTTACGGTGCGTCGACTCATCGCAAACGGCGGCTCCATGCCCCACGCCAGACACAGACGACCTCTTTGTCAGATCCAGCTTCTGTCGTCACCAC